TGTTTACTAGTGTCTTACTACCGGCAAATTATTAAGATATTGGCTGGATATAAAGCACATATTGTGCATGATCTTACTCTACATCTCCAATACCTAAACCCAGCAACCTTAATTATTAATAAGCAGCAAATTTGGAGTTTATTGAGGCAAAAGTCATAGCTAATGCTCTATTAATAGCAAGAAGCATCACCAAATCCTTTACAAACCTGATCATTTATTTAGAGACTGCACTGAAAATAAATATTCAACGATGATTCCTTGGATTTACTCATTTTTCTTATGTTAACTGGTTGTAAACAATTTATTTGGGCTGAATTTAAACAAACAAATTAGGTTGAACATTATTGAATTTAATTAATTTGTTTAAAGTCAACACAAATAAATAGTTTGCAACAGTTCTGCACGCAACACTATTTTCAGTGTGGTTACAAATACACTCCATACAGCACAATGTCATGTGGATTTTGTGGAAACGTCATAATACTGAAAGGTGTCAGTGTTCAGAATCACCTCTGACATTAGTGACAGGATGAGATTTGGCCTGCCTTATTAACACTTTAGTTTGAGTACAGATTCACCAGCCTGATCTCACGAGAAAACGTAAGTATTTTACGTTTTGCCAGTTTAGTGGCTAATTCGTACAAATTCGTACGAGTTCAGTCGTACGTAATGGTACGATTTTAAAAAGGAGGCGTGGCACCTGACCCCACCCCTAACCCCAACTTTCATTGGGGGATGAGCAAGTCGTACTAAATTGTACGAATTAGATCGTACGAATTCATACGAATTAGCCACTAAATGAAAAAGTTACGAATTGCCGTGAGATTGTGTTGGATTCACACTGTTTACTAGTGTCTTATTACTAGCCAATTATTAAGATATTATATTATGAAGCACATATTGTGCATCATCTTATTCTACATCTCCAATACCTAAACCCAACTACCTTAATTATTAATAAACAGCAGATTTGGAGTTTATGGAGGCAAAAGTCATAGCTAATGCTCTATTAATAGCAAGAAGCATCACCACATATTTTACAAGCGTGCTTATTTATCTAGAGACTGCTTACACATACACTCCATACAGCACAATGTGGATTTTACCTGTATGTCAGCGTTCAGAATCACCACTGATATTATTGTGACAGGATGAGATCGCAAGAATCATCACTAAATACTTTACAAACGTGATCAGTTGCTGTTTAACAACATGCTCCATATTGGATGAGAGACTGTAAAGAGAAGTGCAAACACAGATTCGTGTGCGTGTGTGTGTGTGTGTGTGTGTGTGTGTGTGTGTGTTTTGATAATGTGGAAGGGGAAGAGCTTGTGTCGCGGTGCAGCACACACGCAGAGCGTCCGTGTTTTGTAACGTGACCCCAGGGGCATTAACAACATCATTTAAAGCAGGTCAGCGCAAGGTCACCGGGCTCTCGCTGCACATAGCGCTGCAGATTACAGCATCTCCAAATCTGCAGGCGGCGTTATTTAACCTGCAGATCTTCCTGTAAAGAGTGTGTGTGTGTGTGTGTCACGATCTGCATCCTTCAGAAGCAGCACACCTCATCGCCAATCATAATTAAACAGCAAATATGGGCATATTGTGTGTGTGTGTGTGTGTGTGCGTAATCGAATCAGAGATGGCTAATATTCCTCCGCATTAAGCCATTAATCTAATTGCTCATGAAGCATAAAGTATGTTACGTAATTAAATAGTCTGAGAATTATCCCGCGCCGTATTAAAAATTATCCAAGCTGAGCAAATGTTGTCTCTGCGGCTGTTTTAGGGAAGGCATTCAGCGCGTTCCTGAGTCTATTAACGAGTGTGTGTGGGGGGGGGCCTCCACTGCAGCACCGCTATGGTGACCTACAGGAAACTGCCGTCTATTTACATATAAAGGGTTCTTTTAATCAAGCAAAGTGTTATTATATTGAGGCTCATTGAGCAGGAAGTAGAGGTGTTAAATAAAATCTTCTCTGCCCTGCCACCTTTGGGACGCCATACGTCTTGATTTCTAAAATGTCAGTGGCGCGGCGCCGGCGGGCAGCGTAATGGCTGTCTTAATCAGACGGGGAACGCGAGCCAGATCTCCGTTCTTTAGTGCTGTTCTCTCACACACCCATTTGCTGATATTCAGATTCGGTTCCCAGTGTAAAAGCGTGGCACACGGCTTCCCCGGTGAAGGATGGCCGTGTCACCCGCCGTCTCTATATCTCTCTCCGGGAGCGTAAAGTACTGCACTGCTCCCGTCTTTGCATATAAGATAATTTGGCCATCAATCCTTCCCCTGACGGATTTATGTCACTCCGAGGACAGTTTCACTTCTCCTTTTTTTATCGCTTCACTGGAGCCCGCTTAATTTCACCCTGTCATCTTCCACCCCAGGAGATGCCGCCCCCCCCCAAATGTCCAACATTTGCATTGGCCGCATGAGACATGGAGCACGCCGCCGCCGCTGCAGCGATAAATAAATTCCACTTTAGTGCATTTCTGCCTTGTTTTCAGCAGTCAAGTCTCACCTGACTTATTCTGCCGCCTTGATATTTGGCGCTGTAAAGCAGAGCGTCTGCTGTGTTATTTCGGGCTTCCAGGGGAATTCTGACAGGAAAAAAAGACAGGAAGGACTCCTGAAAGAAGAAAAAGACTCCCGGTGTACTTACTTCCCCCTTTTCTTTTCTGTGCAGCCGTTACATGTAGTGCCACTGGCCGTCCATGCCCATGTTCATGCCCATGCCACTCATAGGACCTGCAGAGACACACACACACACACACATACACACACACACAGTGTCCGTCAGACTCCGCAATATGACCAACACACAGCAGAGAAAGTGGAGAGATCTCTTGCTCTTTTAATGCACAGGAGTTGAGTTCTTGGTTGTAATCTCTCTCAAATGCATAGCTGTTCCAGCCTGATCTCACGAGGAAACGTGAGTGTTTTACGTTTTGTCAGTTTAGTAGCTAATTCAGTCGTACGAAAATGTACGATTTTATAAAGGAGGCGTGGCATCCAACCCCACCCCTATCCCCAATCATCATTAGGCGATGAGCAAATCATACTAAATCATACCAATTAGATCGTACAAATTCATACAAATTAGCCACTAAATCAAAAAGGTACGAATCGCGATTGTGTTGGCTGTACATATCATTTGATCTCAGTGAGATTGGGGTTTTTAAATGATAAACTTCTCTATCTGAACTCTCCTGAAAGTCTAACTTTAGGCAACAACATCTTTGAAAACAGAGACTTGAGTTGTTATGTCGGTTTAATCTGAGACGAGGGTGTTCAATCCTTACGTCCTTCATCCTTCACACATACTGTTGAAGCTTCTCCTAATTATCCTTCCTTTAGCTGCGCACAGGTTAGCAGATGAGTCTTCACATACACACGCCAATTAAACACTAACGGACATCAGATCCCAACAAGACAGTCTTAAGTTTATTTATCATAATCTTTAATTTGATTTCCAGCCATTTGCAAATAATACAACTTCAATTTACCATGAGACGCGATCAAAGAAACGAATCTGATCCTACACTCTCAGAACAAATGTACAATGTTGGACTGAAGAAGGTAGCAGGGGCAGTTCACTGTCAGAAAACAGGTACACGGTGGAACAAATAAAGCTCCTTAAGGAACAGTTCTGTACCTTTGTAAATCTTGTACCTTATATGGTACAGAAAAGACTCTTATGATGCTGCTCTGTACCTTTTATGGTACAACTGAAATAAAGGGTCACAATTGTTCTCATTAAAAAAAAAATGTACAAAAACTCCTTCTTTATTACAATATCAATAAATATGACTGGAAAGGCAAAGTGCTTTATGAATAATTTCCAGATTAAAATATGAATCATTATTTAAAAGCAGATGCTTAAAGACACTCATCAACATTAATGATTAACTTCTATAAAGGAAAACTACTGGTGAAGCAGAACTATACTGTAGGTGTTTAAGCTGAACATTTAAGGCATTTTATTAAACATATGGTGAGCATTTTCTGATTAATACAGTTTGTTAGTGATATCCGCACCTTTTGGCGTTTGCTTTCGACTACACATGGTAAAAGTCCTGCATGTGCAAAGTGTTGATGCAGACATTCACTATTGTAAACGTAATCAAACATTGTGCATATCTCCTTTACAATGCTTTTGCATAATTGTATTTCTGTGTAAAATTAAGTAAATGATCTTTTAAGTGTTGAAAACTGGAGAAAAAGCTGTTATATTGTAGATGGCAGAATGTGAAACATTTGTGTGAAAAGTGTTTAGCAAAAATAGATCTTTGGATTGATGTTAAAGTATTTTTTATTCTTTATTGTTGATGTAAAAGGTGCATTCACACACAAAGAAACCTTTTTTTTTATTTTTTTTTTTTAGAAATATTGTTAAATTAATGTATTTGATGTTGTATATTTACTGAAAATAAATTGACGCATTTTGGAGAAAGTAAAATGCCTTTAAACAGTTCCTGAAGGAACACATTTGACACTGTTTTTTCATCATACAAATTCATACGAATTAGCCACTAAATGAAAAAGTTACGAATTGCTGTGAGATTGTGTTGGCAAATCATGTCCTTAAAGGTACAAACGGTCCTGCAATGGTACAAATTTGTTTCTGTCTTAAGGTAAAATTCTGTTCATTAATTAAGCTTGTACCTTCTTTGGTACAACATTTGTTTCTGAGAGTGTACCAGTTGTTTTGCATTATTGTTTTAGAGAACTTAATAGTTAATCTTTATGAGTTTTTTTTTAAAACATGCATATGATGATTCTTGTTTTAATATGGAAATTCTTCATCAAATCACTTTTCCTCTCCAGTCATATTTATTTTTACAGTTGTTCAACACTTTTGTACCTTTATATGAGAACAATTGTGCACCTTCACTTCAACTGTACCATACAAGGCACAGACGTAAGGTACGGTTCCTCAAGGAACATCATTTGTACCACCTTTTTTTCAGGGAGTGTAGCAAATAATACTAAAAGCATAATGATATATTCTGTAGCGATGCGCAGAGGACTTTGCTTTGGTCAATTTTAAATGAACATTTCACTGTACATAAATCATTTCAAATCAACTGGACTGTAAATGTGCAACAAAGAAGTTAAAAATGGCTCCTCTAGGACTGTGGTTCCCAAAGTGAGGGTCCCGAGACTATGACAGGGAGTCCACATGTCAAATAAACTTTATTAAACTATTCGAATCACCATATTTTATCCATAATCCACAGAAGATTCTGATAGTAGTTTTTAATAGTAAAAAAACAACAACATGCAAATAAAAAGCCATCAGCTTATCAATTATGCTTTCATAGGACTGGTGTGTTTACATTGCATTTATAATACAGCAGTAGCGTCAGCTGATTTTATAGCTGCGGGTTAAACTTTCTGACAACTTTATGGCAATCAAATACATTGAAATATATATATACAGGCCACAACTGGACACTGAGGATCTCCAAAATTAAACCAAGATTACACTTGCTGAAAACACTGTGTCCACCGGTCCCTTTAGCTGAGGTTAATATTAGATTAAATAAATTAATAAATGACTATAAAATATATATATATGGTTGTTAGACTGTTGCACTTTATTGTGTTGACAGTATTCTCCTGTTTATATCGGCCTATTGTATATTTATAGGAATTTGGGGGGCGCATATCACTGGCATTATTATTTTACGGGTCGCAGGCTGAAACGTTTGGCAACCCCTGCTTTAGGACAGGCCAAGTTTGGTTCTTGAGGGTTGGAGTTTTGCCTCAACCATGACTATACACACCTGAACAAGCCAATCAAGGTCTGAGTGTTGCTATAAAACTACAAGCAGGTTTTGTTTTTCAAGGCTGAGTCCAGATCATGATGGACATTCATTTCAAAAGAGTCTCCGTCCACATGTGATGCATGTTAAGAGCAAGCCCAACCAACAGGGGACGATAAAAGCCTTTAATGCTGGATTCAGAATTAGTTGTGCAAGTTAATCTCCTACAAGTAAATGCAAACGTAAGAATAAAGGTATATTACCGTCCTGCAGCATGAACAATGTGGATTCTGCAATGTGTTTGGCACGCTGATGTGATGAGGCAAATAGGTGCAGTGTCCACATAGGCATCACTGTACCCAGAGCTTTGGGAAATCTACACCCGGGCCGGAGTTTTCAGAAACTTTTGGTTCAGATCACCTGATACTGTGTTTTTGTGTGGACAAACGGGCAAACTGCAGTTTTGAAGATACCCGTGTTGCTGTGGACCGGGCCTAAATTAATACTCTCCAGGACAGAACTTGCCTATACATGAGCTCTAGGATTGGTCACTCGTCTGCTAAGAGCAGTAAATGTGCGGTGCAGAAGACGTGATTTGAGGGTCAGCACATCTCACCTGCTGGCCGGATGCCCATGTGTTGCTGCCCGTCCAGCACGAAGCTGCCCATTGGCTGCCCCTCTGGACTGTACGCTGCTCCCTGGCTCACTGAAGGATCAAGAAGAAAACCTGATTGAAGTCAAACGTGGACAGCAGGGGAAGAAGAGAGAAGACACACCAGACAATCAGCGATTATCCCAGCAGCAGCCCAAACACACTGAGCTGTTCATCAGCCACACACACACACACACACACACACACACACATACACACGTCTCATTCTCCAAGCATCGACACGATGTGAAACCGTTACGTCAACACAACCGTCCAGCAGCTCTGAATGATGTCCACTATAGCAGCGATTCCCATCCCTGTTCCCAACAGCACACAATGTGGATGTCTCCCTTATCTGACCCGCTCATTTCAGGCGGTGAGGGTTTTGGAGTCTCCTCTAATGTTCTGAAGAGTGATTCAGGTGTGCTTAGGAGAGGTTGAACATATGTGCTGTTGATGTGACTTCGGGAACTATATGCATGGGAGGATAATCGGTTATAAGGATTACTACGGTTTAAGTCCCATGCCTAGTCCACTACTTAGGGGGCTCAGTAGATCATAACCTTTCAGGGATCTAGAAACCACAGATGCGGGGATGTTTAGACCAGCATCCCTCATTCATAATCATAATGTCACCCATGACCAGCAGACCAGCGTGTCTATCAGTCACTGCCAACATCCTAATGGGCTCAGTTGAACAATGTCTCCAACAGATATGACAGAACTCCAGCTCACAGCGAGACTCATAATCGAGCCATCAGTAACTCAAAGAACTAGAGAACTTCCCCTTCTGCTGCTGATGCCAATTCATACATGATTATGCAGATCGCCTTCTAATGTAGCATAACACAAAGAGAAACTGCGAAACGCCGCAGAATTACTGTAAAGTTCTCATGTGGCCAATTAGCAGCGAGATTCAGTGATGTCCTTCTAAGCGGCGAGACGGAGAAACATTCAATTAGATTCAATCTGCTGTTGTTGTGCTGCAGACACAGGAGACAAGACTGGAGATCAGCACATGAAAGGAAGACGAGACCAAGGGTGTTTACCTGCTCGATTCGACTGGTCAATCATGGGCTGCACTATTCTTCTTCTGGCATTAATGAACCTGAAAACACAAGGAAAAACAAGACCTGTTAAATCCAAGCTCTTACAGGACTCACATCAGGCTGATAACAGGCACTTCGCATCGGTGCTGTGCTCAAGACTGAAGCACACAATCCCAGTCGGAGAACGATGTTTTCAGGAGAGTTGGTTCTCTGTGGTGGCTCAGTGGTCAGCACTGTGGCCTCACAGCAAGAAGGTCACTGATTTGAGCCCTGTCTGCGTCAGTTTGCATTTCTGTGTGGAGTTTGCATGTTCTCCCCGTGTTGGCGTGGGTTTCCTTCAGGTGGTTTCCCCCATAGTCCAAACACATGCGCTATAGGGGAACTGATCAACTAAATTAGCTGTAGTGTATGAGTGTGTGTGTGAGAGAGAATGAGTGTGTATGGGTGTTTTCCAGTGCTGGGTTGCAGCTGGAAGGGCATTCGTTGTGTAAAACATATGCCGGAATAGTTGGCGGTTCATTCCGCCGTGGCCACCTCTGAAATACAGACTAAGCAAGAGGAAAATGAATGCATTTGAGCTCTGTAATTGGACTCAAATGAGCTAGTCTCGACTGGAAAATACGGTTTTGGACTTGAGATACTAAAACACTGGCAATGCAAACTAACACAATCAAGTTCAGAGAGGCTTATATATGCTCAATTTTACTGGTATTACAGCCTGATCACCAACATACCTATTTTACGTATTGTCAGAAAACTCTGTCTAGTTTGAATGAATGCATGTGATTTCTTTTGTATTAAAATGTATGATTTTAAGAGGAAGGCATGCCCCCTAACCCAACCCCTCATTGTGGGATCAGCAAATAATAGTAAAATGTGCAAAGGAGGTTATATAAATTAGCTATTAATCAATAAATTAATAATTTCCACGAGAGTAACCTGTAGAAATGCAAAACCTGAATGATTTCTCCAACACTAAGAACACTGCAGCCCTGATTTTACCATGTGCACCATGTTTCTGCATTAACATATATGCTAATCCTGGAATAACATTTCAATCAACCAATCAGATTTCAGACACAACTTTATAGTTTATGTTAGGTTTAGGCTTGCAATTAGGGTCATGTGCATCTAATTCATTCATTCATTTTCTTTTGGCTAATCAGGGGTCGCCACAGCAGAATGAACCGCCAACTAATCCAGCATATGATTTACATAGCGGATACCCTTCCAGCTGCAACCCAGTACTGGGAAACACCCATACACACTCATTCACACACACAAACTCATACACTCATACACAACAGCCAGTTTTGTTGATCAATTCCCATATAGTGCATGTGTTTCGACTGGGAAACACCCATACACACTCATTCACACACACACTCATACACTACGGTCAGTTTAGTTGGTCAGTTCCCCTACTGCGCATGTGTTTGGACTGAAACCGGAGCACCCGGAGGAAACCCACACCAAGACGGGGAGAACATGCAAACTCCACACAGAAACACCAACTGACCCAGCTAAGGCTCGAACCAGCGACCTTCTTGCTGTGAGGTGATCGTGCAACGCCCCTGAGTTAACATGAACAGCTGTGTTTTATTAGCTAATACTGGAATAGATGTAAGGTTCATTGTTGATCACATGCACAAACATTATCGTTCACACTTTCACGCTCGCTGGACACTCAGAAGAGCCCTGCTTACACAGGAGCCTCCATACAAACGTCTCTTTGAGTTGGTCCCCTGCCCCCTAGTCAGGGCCCCTAGGCAGGGGTCTCTCTCTCTCTCTCTCCAGCTGTCTGTAAATGAGCTCCAGGCTTTCAGCAGCTATTGTTATGTCAGCGAGACCATCAATTAGCCTGTCTGAAGTTTTATCACCCGCGCTCCGGCAAATAAGCGCAGCTCCACAAACCCTCTGTCCTGCAGCTCTGAGTATGGAGCCGCGCGGGTCATCAGGGGGTCAGCGAAACCCCTTTACAATGTTTTTAAATGCAGAAGTTTTAAAGGCAAAATGGCCAGGAGAGACTCCGCTAAAGCAGGCGCTGAGTTGAACTGTAGAGGTAATCACGGAAATTTCAATTCAATTTCAATCAGACTTTACAAAACGGCATCGCTGGTTACTGTATTTAATAACACGAACTGATGATCAACAACACTTGTACAGCATTTATTAATCATAGTTCAACATTTATTAATGCATTACTATCATCCACATTCATGCTTGTTTACATCAGTTAATGAGTGTCTATGTTTCCATTCACTAACATGAAATACTGTATTAAATGTGTTCGTTGTTTATTCGTGATCTTAAATTAATGAATCCTTATAGTTTACCTCTTTTATTTTGCACAAACATCAGTAAATGAATACTTGAATTTATCCAAAAACCAAAGGTGTACTGAGTGTAATGTTATAAATGTGAAGCAGCAGCACGGAGGAGTTGGGTCGAAGCATGTGTTTGATATTAGCGGCAGGTTTGGGATCGTGCTGGGACTCTCCCGCATGAAAAAAGAAAAGCGTGCGACTCTATGGGTCTGTACGGTCATTAGATACAAGCAGGACTGGAATCAATTTCAGCCCAAATCCCTCCTGAAGCCGTCCGACATGCGGCTCTTACCTGCCATTAACTTAAACACCCGCAATCTGTGCTCTCACAGTGACACGGAGTTCAGCAAGCGCACAGCTGCCGGAGACGAAGAGCTTTCATTTCTTTGTGTCTCGCGTGTGGATGCTCAGGAAAACAGCGTCAACTATGCATGGTGTATTCCAAAACTTTGGTTAGTTAGTTAGTTAGTTAGTTAGTTAGTTAGTTAGTTAGTTAGTTAGTTATGGTTGGTTGGTTGGTTGGTTGGTTAGTTAGTTAGTTAGTTAGTTAGTTAGTTATGGTTGGTTGGTTGGTTGGTTGGTTGGTTGGTTAGTTAGTTAGTTAGTTAGTTAGTTAGTTAGTTATGGTTGGTTGGTTGGTTGGTTGGGTGGTTGGTTGGTTGGTTAGTTAGTTAGTTAGTTAGTTAGTTATGGTTGGTTGGTTGGTTGGTTGGTTGGTTGGTTGGTTAGTTAGTTAGTTAGTTAGTTAGTTAGTTAGTTAGTTATGGTTGGTTGGTTGGTTGGTTGGTTGGTTCGTTGGTTCGTTCGTTCGTTCGTTCGTTCGTTCGTTAGTTCGTTCGTTCGTTTGTTGATTGGTTGGTTGGTTGGTTGGTTGGTTGGTTAGCTAGCTAGCTAGTTAGTTAGTTACTTCGTTGGTTTATTAGTTCGTTCGTTAGTTAGTTGGTTGGTTGGTTAGTTAGTTAGTTAGTTAGTTAGTTAGTCAGTTAGTTAGTTAGTTCATTAGTTAGTTTGTTAGTTCGTTGGATAGTTTATTGATCCCTAAGGTAATTCAGCCATCGAATAGCATTCCTTACATAAAATAAAGACACGTTAACAAACGCTCTCCAAATAGGAAGAACAGAAATGAAAAATAATAACAATATTCATTCATTCATTTTCTTTTCGGCTTAGTCCTTTTATTCATCAGCGGAATGAAGCACCAACTTATCCAGCATATTTTTTACGCAGCGGACGCCCTTTCAGCTGCAACCCAGTACTGGGAAACACCCATACACACTCATTCACACACACACACACACACACACACAC